CACAGGGCCACGGGGGTGGTGGGTCCTATACCGGCAGAACAACAGCCACGTGTACGCCCTCTCTCCGGGGCGGGCCGGCGCCGGCGGCGCCAGCAGCGTCACCTTTCCTCCAATCGCCTCTCACCAGGCCAGGCAGGCAGGCAGCGCGTCCCCAGGCCTTCCCCTTTGGCGTGTCGGATCAGATGGCGAGGCAGGCGGGGCCGGCGAGGGCAGCCGTGACTCCGCGGCGCCCCATTATTCACCGCGCGACACGCACGCGACTGTTCGCACGCTGATCTGCCGCCTTGCAGCGCCGTGTGCAGCGCCGTGTGCAGCGCGCTGCCCTGCTACTCCCTTCCTGCACTGCATGCGCGGTGTTGACTCGCAGCCCCGCTATTCTCCTCGCGCCTGCCTGTGTATATGTGTGGACCTCCTGTGTGCCCCCCTCCGCCTCCTTCCCCCTTTCGCTCCCGCCCTACTCTCATCCCCTCCATCTCTTTCCTCTTTTCCCTCACATGCCTCTCAATAGCCTATTCTTCTTCTCCGGAAATGCGGAAGAGAGCGAATAAGGGAGGGAGGCCGCGTGTGCCGTCACAGGCGCCACCTCGGCGCCTCTCTCCTGCCTGCCCAGGCGCCTGCCCGCCTGCGGCAGATAACCCCACCACATCGCACTTAACCTGCGCCACCTTGCCTCAGTTGATTAAGATTAAGTCAACTCTGTGAAATGCCTGTGCTAATTCCAAGTCGTGCGTAGTGTCGTACGAAATTTGTATTTTTTTTAATTTCACGACTTTACTATATTTAAATGTTACTAGGAAGCCCCCTACGGGGATGGGCTGAGCTTGCGTATCTAGTTAGGAAGCGTTTAAATGTCCTGTTTTGGTGACAGGTCACCACACAGGCTGGACCACACCCCCCCCCCCCCCCCCTCCCTTGTTTTTTGCTCATTGCCAGATATAGGGGTGCTGTAGGTGGGTTGTGTGCTCGCAGGGGGCCATGAGGCGCCACGGGAAGCAACGCACGGTAAAAATGACATCTTGGATTTCAAGCGATCTACTTGGTTTTCAAGAGAGTTTTCAAGGAATCTACTTGAATTCCAAGATGTTCTTTTTATCGTGTGGTAGGCCAGCCCGCCTGCACGATATCATGCGGTACAGCACGTATCAGAGAAATATAGATAGGGTTGTGTTGCAAAGGCAAAGGGTATTTCCCACTAAAAGTTTCGAAGTCTGGTTGTCTCGTGGCAACAGTCATGTTGTTCACGTATGTCCCTTCGCTGCGTGTCTTGTTTGGTCGCGGTTGGCGTGCGGCGACAGCGCCACCTTCTGTCACCGGAGCGTCTTCTAATTAGCACACCACGTAACGGGCTAGGTTCATCTGCCCAAGCGCAAACAGGATGGAAAACCTGCCGCGGCGTTCGAAATGAAAAGTAAAGTTTGATATTGCGTCTCATTTCATTGGTCCGGGAATGCGGTACACGGTACATTACACACTTCCTCACCCTTCTCACCTCACCTCAAGTCACACTCTCGCTACTTTTCACGATACAATGTGTAGGTTTACTCTGCGACAAGAATATGCACTTTTCGTTCAGTTACTGTGAATAGCCTGAAAAGTCCCCTGTTTAAGGCACTTCGTACTCGAACAATTCGGACGCATCAAAATTTTGAAGTTCGAAATCGAAACGATGTGTGCACATGGAGCGCACGCTGGGAAACTTATACTAAAGGGAAGGCTTTTCATTGAATAAGAGGATGGTTTGCCAATCTCCTTGTTTTTAGAGCGCACTCAGAAAACTAAGTTCTTGGATCAAGAACACTTTAATGCAGTCAAGAACATTTGCCTTGATTCAAGTAAAAATTGACTTGGATCATAGCAAATGTTCTTGACTGCATTAAAGATCAAGCACAGTGTTCTTGATCCAAGAACTCAGTTTTCTGAGTGCGAATCTGAGCCCCAACATTTATTGGCTGCCCCATATTTTAATGGTTTATAGCATCTCCTAGAATGTTAGGAAATGAATCGATTCGCATTCGAAATAGTAAGATTCGATTCGATTCGGGGTAAAATTTTAAGATTCAATTCGATTCTTGGAAAAAAATCCAGATTCGATTCGATTCGACTCTGAAAAAGGTTGATTCGCACACCTCTACCCTGTTTTTTTTTTTTTTTTCAAGGCACAATTATCAAAGTTTCACTGCCGTCTCCTTTCCAGACCACATCACAAACGTAATGTTTCCTTTCATGTCACTCCGTTCCGAGCTCCGTGTATGTTGTTGCTCGATGTCAATCCACATGTCTCGCACGCGCGCACACACATACACTCTGCGCATGTGTGTGAGTGTGTATGTGTGTTAACTGGCAGCGATAGCCTCTCGCGCACGCATTCTTTGCTCGGTGTTGGACCCACCTGCCGTTGACCTTGAACTTCAGCCTGGACTAGGATGTGTGTCACCCGAGCGCGCCCCCAAGGCCGCCGAACCTATGAATAATGCTCTCTTCTGCATTATACGCTGCCCCGGACCCTCCCGGACCACACAGGCAGGTGGACGTGTTAATTATCCCACCGTGACAGCTTGTCGGCGGCCCTCAAGAAAGACACTTAACCGGCCGTCGGCACGTACTAGACTAGAACATACGCGTGCCGGGTTATCTCTAATTGGAGACGAACGAGTTTCGAACGTCGCATACTTGTCACCTGATATACAGCTCTGCGTCTACTATTGACGAGAAATGTCGAGATAACTAAGCGGGATTGCTCGGAAAATTCCTGATGCGAAATGCGACGCAAAAGACTTGCGATATGGAAAGCAAGTCGCTTCTGTCTATGGTCTTTCGCGCCGATACAGAACAGAATACCAAAATAAATGTATAAAACCTGTCCCGATTTCACGTTGACACGTGATGCATTTACATGTTGACGCAAAATTGGGAAGTCAGAAATCCTTACAACAAAGCGTGGCCACTCACTGGTGATGATTGCAAAGACAAGGTGGAAGAGGCAAGAGGTAAGCCTTAATTTTCGAAGATTTCGATCTATGACCTCCGTCCTGATTCGCGATAGAAAGAAGTCGAACCCGGTCGAAGTGTGCACGCGAATTTGCGTAAAGCGCCTCTCGGCCCGGGGTGTCGCCGCGCTGCCTCTGCCAACTGGGGGTAGTCCGCGGCCAACACGCTGGCCTTGGCGCGCCTCGGAGGCCCAGTAATGGTCTCAATGTGCTTTCTCTGGCGATAAGGCCCTTTACTCACCAATGACGCCGCCCGGAGCAACGTCGTCGGAGCCGCCCCGAGTCCATTGCAAGGCCCGCTGGAGCCGGTTGTGCTTCTCCGGAAGGTTGTTGTTGCTGGAAAAGGTCAAGTTCGGCCCGCGGTAGACACCTGTGGAACCAATGTGCGACGTATCTCAGAAGCCGAAGTAACACAAAGTTGCGGGTCAAAATAGGCCGGAAACTTAAGCCATAATTCAAATCCTCGCCGACTGGCACCCTGGCCACGCCTTGGAGGGACGCCACGCAGCTCGCCATATCCTGCTTATCGCCGTTTGCGTTATCTCATCTAAAGGTTATCCGCGTCTGATGAGAAATGGCGAAAGTAGTAACGTTGATGTCCGCAGGTCGGCCACGCAAATTTTTGGTGTACATGGAATATCTATTGAATATTTTAGAAACTTCTGGAATCTTTTTGGAATATGTAGAATATTTCGGAAATTCTGGAATTTTTTTGGAACTGTCTGGACTCTCAACCCCATAAGGCATGAGCCGGTCCAAATCGACCAAAGTTGAATATTTGAGTTGTGCAAACCAAGGGAGTGTCTAAGAAGCATTTTAAGCCTTCGTGGGGTGTTCTAGCATGTACGGATCAGGATTGCTGAATGTCATTTTTAAACCACATCATGCCTTCCGCGTCACTCGACATGATTTCTCATTATTTTTAAAGTGGATATAAATTTCAGGACTATGGTCTGTGTTGGATTGATGATCGAATTTCACAAACATTTAAAACATTTAAAAAGACGAGTGGCCGATAAGGCCCCAAAACAGGTGTTTTTTTGGTCATTTTTGAGGAGTGTTTGTAAATAGAACGATTTAGACGGCAAATCTTCGAGTAATATGGCGTAAACTCATCATGGTTGTATGAAGAAAAACTTGTTGAGTAAAAAAATACAATTTTCTCAAAGATAATTCCTCTAAAACCTGCTCGAAGTCGAACGTCGTTTTAAAACGACACCATTCCTACGGGTCACTCGATCATCGAAAATCAAAAAATAATAACTAATCGACTTTTTTGGTTTCTGATGCTTTATTGATGAGTACGAAGGCAATATCAAGTGTCGTAGGTCTGAATATAGAATGTCTTTGTACTCATTTCAATGTTTAGACCCTCGGAACAAAAAGCGTACCTTTGTGCAAGTTGCTATTTTTGAGCGCAATTTTTCCTATCATGCATTCGCCATACGGTCTTCCGAGTTTACGAACTCCTAGTAAGTGCCCCTGAGATACTCTTGAGTGAGCATGCAAATGTTACTTTAGGGCTCAGCGTCTGTGAGTGGAGGCCGTGCCAAAACACCACTTTGAACGACCGTTGTCGTTTTAAAACGACATGTGTCATTTAAAAACAACAACGCACTGGAAACGCAAGTGTGTGAATGTCGCTCACCTGCAGGTGTGTGAATATCCATTCGTACACTTAGACGGGTAAAGGTGTGAATTTTTTCTAGAGTGACATTCACACACTTGCGTTTCCAGTGCGGTATCGTTCAAAGTGTTGGTGTTGCACGGCTTGTTCCGAAAGTTGAAACATTGAAATAGTACAAAGAAATTCCATATTCAGAACTACGACACTCGATATTGCCTCAGTACTCATCAATAAAGCATCAGAAACTAAACTAGTCGATTAGTTATCATTATTTTTGATTTTCGATGATGTCGAGTGACCCGGAAGGCATGGTATCGTTTGAAAACGACGTTCGACTTTTTCTCACTGTCAGAGCTGCTAGGTGCACCGGACCAAAGATTTAGACATCGGATCACGTTCAGCGAACATTTTTCCTTAAGTTTTAGTCGACGTCCACTTCTACCCCCACCTCGTCGGTATATGAATATCTTTAGGCAATCGCAACGAAAATCCAAATAAGTCACTCTTAGGACGCTATTAGATCCACCGAGTGGTTCGGAGAGGTCCGCCGATTGGCTTAAAACTTCGGCAGGTACTTGCACAAACATGCTCAGACAATAAGATGGTCTTGAAATAAGATGGCTTCGCTTGACCCAATTTTATCGAACGTCATTTTAAACGACACCATGCCTTATAGGGTTAATAGGAATATCTGGAATATTTTTGGGAAATCACTGGGGGATATGAGGGTCACTGCAAACCCAACCACACGCATGCAAGAAAGTGTGTGTTACGCAGAAAAAGAAAAAAAAAAAGATTTGCTTTTAGCAGAACAAACGGATTGTAGCTGATTCCGTGATGGCTACCACGATGATTTTGCAAGGGGGAAAACTAGCCAGGGGGAACTAGCGCATGCAAGCCAATCATTTGCTGTCATATGTGGCGGAAAATAATCTAAAAGTTCATTCGCAGAGTAAAAGTTTCGCATGTCAGAGGTCAATGTGATTAGCTATCACAGAATCAGCACATCCGTTTCCCCTGACAGCATTTTTATTTTGCATCAGTGTGCGTCGATCTAAAAAATATATCAAAAGGAGCCCTGCGGTAGAGTAGAGCGTGTCGATTTTCCCCCCTTATCATTTTCTAGAGAAGTAATTTAATAAAACTCACCGTCTCTGCTGCTGGTTGGATCCGTCACTACCGACAGATCAACACAGTTGCAGCCGGGCGGATCGTCCTTGCTGTGGCGCTGTTGCTGGCCCATGGCGATCTGTAAACAAGCCGGACTGAGATCCTGATACAGTTGTGCCATCTGGTGGGGAGGCGCCGCGCCGCGCCACGCCACGCCATCCACGCTACGCCACGCCCCGCCACGCTACACCCGACTCATTCATAGCGGGACAGACGCGTGCAAAACACCTCCGTCGCGCCGCTGCGTCGCCTGAAAGAAAGGGAAGAAAGTCGTCCGGGTGGGTCGCGGTGAGGCGGGCGGCACGCCTCGACGCGCGCGCAGGAAAGTGTCCCGGGAGGGGCCCGGGGGCCTGCGGGCCTCGGCACGGGTCGCTACTGGTGCGGGGCCGGGCCGAGGGGCCTTTTGGCGAAGACTGTACGCCGCCAATTAGGCCTGCCCTACCAATCACGCGTAGCCGACTTGTCATAATGAGACGCGGCCGGCCTGTCTCTAAAGGGATTGGGGAAGGGGCCTCCAATTTCGCGCGCTTCTTTTCGTTTGCACACTATTGGCACGCCACTTGAATTCTTACGTCGAACCTAGTGCTACGGTGAGCCTTAACAGTCCGCTCGCCTGCATGTGGTACAGGCATAACAAAAAAAGGGGGCCTCTATAGGACATCCTATGCGATCACTCACACTGGAGTAATAATGGCACACTCTGTTGTTAGGAAGTTCACTTTAGTTGTCAGTCTCTGTAAGTAACTGGTTCGACGAAGCGGCTCATGCGCGTTAAACAGAGTGCGCTGAGGACCGGCACAGTAGTCCTCTTGCTGCTTCGGCGAGACGGCTACTGAGGCGCGAGGACCTCTCAACTCTTAATATCCTTGCTAGACATTTCGATAAGAGAGACAAGTCGACTATCTAGAGGCGAGCGAAGCATTTTTTTAAAAGTAATCTCGATTTCGGAAAAGCAGTGCAGTGTGGGATCATAGAAAATTAGAGAATGGTGTTAAGTGCCGGCACTTTTGTGATTGAGCTCCTCTAGAAATGGGGCCAACGAAGATAGTCGTGGCTTGTGATCTCTCTATTCGAGAGGTTGCAGTTACAGGTAACAGACCTCTTTGCCTTATTGCCACTCTCATGACCCACCTTTTTTGTTAATTCATAGTCTAGTGAGAAATTACCCTGTTAATTATAGATCGCGAATACTTTTCATTTATAAGTTCCAGTTTCGCTTTCAAACAGGAGGACACATTTTTGGACACTGATGCAATAGGCTTCGCTGTCGCTCAGCCAATTAGGAGATAAGCAATCTACGCAATCAACGTGTTTGTTTTCATGTTTACATAGAGGACTTGTCTTCATACGTGTCTACGTGATTCTCGATAAGTGCGATTGCCACACTCTATGTGACAAGGGACATTCTTTCCCTATTGCAAGATACTTATGTTTATCTTTGCAAGATTTAATTTTGAGACACAAGTGCATTTTGCAATAAGAAAAGCTTGCTGCTTGGCATTTAGAATGCAGGGATGGAAAACTACCTTTCTTTGTAATGGCCAGGGAAAACCATGGGAAACAGTTTCGCTCGGCGAATAAAAGTTATTAATTTTCTTGTAAACTGCAGTTTAACTATTTGCTTCAATATTTTCCTCCTTTCCATTGACTAATAAAAGAATCAAGGTATTTAGAACCGATTGGGGTGAGACGACTGAAAATATTACAATTGTTGTATGGCTCTGTGTGGGGATATTTAACTCAGTCCCCATACCAAGTGAAACCAAAAAATTCCATTAGGTCTCTGAACACTGAACTAAAATTCAGAACTTTTGATGTCTCCCTGAGATGAGTTTTGGCTCCGATGTTTTCACACTAACGACTCGATTTGTATCTCTTGCAAGTATTCAACTGATGATCACAGGCAAGTGTTCAACCCTTAGGTGCTTGACAGGATATGCATACCATATGTGAATACTTCGAAGTGTTCAACAGTAAATTTAAACACAATAATTTGTCGAAAGCTTCATAGTCACTCCTGATGTTGAACCCTTTTAAGTACTTAACTTTACTGTTAAACACTTTAAAGTATCTAAATACCCAATGAAAGTGTGGAACATAGTGTAGAGCACGTGCATGTGCACGCCACACTGTAAAAATCTTGCAAAGAACTATTCTTTTCATTGCAAAGAATTTTCAAGCGTTATAAAATGCCGCTTGTAAAATGCTTTGCAGTTCGAACTAATTCTTCGCACCTTACAAAAAAAATCGTTTGTAACGCTGCAAAGAATTAGTTGGTAATCCTGCAAACTATTTCTTCGCAACTTACGAAGAAATTAGTTTGCAATACAAATGAAATGGTTTGCAATGCAAACTTTCTTACAATGCTTCAAAATTCTTTGCATGAATTTTGCAGTGCAGTTGTACAATTTATTTATCATGCAGTGCATATTTGTACTTTTTTAGCAATCAAATTAATTGCACACTTTACTGCGTCGATTTGAACTAAATCATGCACTCTCGCTCAAACCTTTTTCTGAAACGAGCCGTTGGTTTGCAGGACTGTTTGCCAACAAACATGCAAATACATCTACTGTCGTGTTCATACAACTATCATGATGTACTACAAATATTCCATCAGACAAGTTGAGTCTCTGAAATTGGTGCAGAGTTTCGTATTTCGTTCGACTCACCTCTGGCTGAGTCGCTGGAACTTGAAGCCAGTAGAGTCAAATATCCAACTTCTACTCGCGGTGACCGCTGTAGCGCGCGCAGGAGACGGTCCTGGAGGTGCTGGAGACGGTGCTGCACTGGAAGCCCCGACTGCGGAAGGGAAAGGAAGGCACGCCTTTCAGGTGCGGGCGGGAAGAAAGAGAGAAAGAGTTATGTCGAGAGGAGGGGGTGACGACGACCCGCAGAAGACGTCGCGAGACGGGTGCGTCTAGCGTGTCGCGGCGGGGCGGGGGGCTGAGATTCCTGATGGTGACCCTGAAGGGCCACTCGGGCCACTTGGGCGACACCAAGCGCGGCTCTATGACACTCGTTGGTCACTGCTGGCCTCTTGAGGTGGCCGCGCTGGTATACACCGAGTGGTGCACCGGTCACCTACTACTCGTCTAAGTGTTCAGCCGTGTTTGTGTTGGAGGCTCAGGGCTGCAGGGCAGCAGTGCCAGTGCCCCGGCGGGCGTGGCGCGTCTTAGTTAGAAGCGCCGCTACGCCTCGTGGCGCCTCAGCGCGAACTTCCTCTTCCCTACCTAGCGACATTTGCAGCGCGCGGCTGCGTTCGAGAAGGTTTGGTTCGCCAGAAGCCGCCGCTGGCCTGCTGCTCATCTCGGACCAGTGCGCGCGCCGCGCAGCCCACGGCCGCTGTGACGGAAACGCTGATAATTGCTGACTCCGGTGTGGTGGTATACAGCAGAACACACCAAATCAGTCCAGAGAGGCTGGTGGAGAAAGCGGTATAAACATGAATGTTAATTTGTGTGCCGAAGAAACGAATGCAACGTTTTTTGGCACTGTTCATGTATTTCATAAACCGGTGGCATCTTACAAAGCACTTTCTTTGAAAGCTTACAAAGAATATGATTTATTGTGTATGGCGAAGCATTAGGTGTTAGGAAGCACTACTTTTTGACTTTACAAAGCCAAGAAATATGTCCCGTTTAACAAAGCTCTGCTTTGTAAGCTACGAAGTACGTCTTCGTAATGTGATGCTCCCCGTTCTTCGCAGCTTACGGAAAAAATGCTTTGATACACTGAAACAATCCTTTGTAGCCTTTTGCAAGTGAAGAGTGTGGAATAGAAGTTGCTGCCTTACGCTAGAACTTCAACACACACAACTTAAATCAACGAAGTACCCTTAAATACGAGCGTAAGAGTTTGGGGTAGCTTATATTGAATTAAACAATGAAGGTCATCACGACAGTCCCGCGTTTCCTTCGAGAACCACAGAACCACACCAGTCTCAGACAGGAATTGAATTTAAAGCAAAGAGGTGCTTCGTAGATACTCCCGGAAATGCAAACGGATTGTTCGTAAGACCTTCTTAAACTTAAAAAGAATTGCTTTGCAACAGAAACAATTTCTTTTGCAATACAAAGAATGAAAATTGTTCGTAACGTTGGAAAGCATTTAGTTCGTAAGCCTTTTACAGTGCAGGTTTTGAAAGAAGCGATGCTCGAGCAGAAAAATGTTTCAGTGGTAGGTTTTCACCACGCAGTTTAATCAGACCTCATCTCAAACACCCCGATGACTTCATCTTTTGTGTTGCTGGGGAGTGGGCGAGAAAAAATAGCGAGCTATCAGAGCAACCAAGTCAACGGCTTTCACGCCGCACATCGGAATGTTACAAGTAGGATCATCTTTCAAGTATACACTGTTGAAAATAGCACTAGGTTTCGACGAAATATAGATCTTTCGCCCACAATTTGGCAACGGTTACACTAAAATTGTAATTTGGGCTTGATTGCTATAAGTAAGAATATTTTTCCTTGGTAAATTGATTTGAAAGGCATTCCAGTAAGGATATCGGGGGGGCATCTTTACGAGAAAGTGCGTACAGTACACGTCAAATTTCCCCACTACTGTTTACTCTTTGTAATTTTCCCTTCAATGTTTCGCTATTTTAATAACTTTAATTCATTTTGGTGCCTATTTGTACTCTATTGTGTTTATTTTTACGTTGGGTACATGATTTACTGACCATGTTTCCTTTCTCTTTGATTGACTTTCAAATTGGTCTTTTTTTGTCAGCCTCAGTTTAACTATTACACAAATTATTGTACACCTACTTTTTGTCCTGCCCCCC